AAAAAATAAAGAGGTTAACTCAAAGATTGCCTCACATATTGGGAAGAATTTACATATATCTAAAGATCATCCTCTATCATTAGTCCGACAAAAAGTTGTAGATTATTTTTACAAAGCATTTGTTAACTCTCGTGGTAATCCAGTGTTTGCAGTTTTTGATAATTTGTCACCCATTGTCACTCAGGAACAAAACTTTGATAGTCTACTTGTTCCTAAAGACCATCCTTCAAGATTAAAAAGTGACTGTTACTATATAAACAATGATTATTTATTAAGAGCTCATACCACAGCCCATGATTCGGAGTTAATAAAATCTGGCTTAGACAATTTTCTTGTTATTGGTGATGTTTATCGAAGAGATGAAATAGATAGAACTCATTATCCAGTTTTTCATCAGGTTGATGTTGTTAGACTTAAAACTAGAGAACAATTATTTCCTGCTGATGAATCCTTAGAATTATTTGAAAGTGGAAACAATACAACTAATACTGGGATTCAAGAGAAACAGGCATGCCACACCTTGGAAGCAGTAAAATTAATGGAGCATGAACTCAAAAATACTTTAGAAGGATTGGCCAAGACTCTGTTTGGTATGTTCATAGTGAATTTTTAAGCCTTATTTTTATAATTTGTGTATTACCAGGTAGTGATATTAGATTTCGATGGACTGACTCCACATTTCCATTCACTCAACCATCATGGGAGCTAGAGGTGCATTATAATAATCAGTGGCTAGAATTACTTGGTTGCGGAATTCTTCAACAGCCTATTTTATACAGAGCCGGTGTTCTTAATAAAATAGGTTGGGCTTTTGGTTTGGGTTTAGAAAGAGTTGCAATGTGCATATATCAAATACCAGATATTCGCCTTTTCTGGTCTCAAGATTCAGGCTTTTTAAGTCAGTTTAAAACAAGCGATCCAAATGCAAAGATTATTTATAAGCCAGTGAGTCAATATCCTCAATGTATAAATGATATAAGTTTTTGGTTGCCTGACGATGCTCAAGAATTTTCATCCAACGATTTTTACGACATTGTTCGAAGTATTGGAGGTGACATCATTGAGCAAGTTTCATTGGTAGATGAATTTTTTCATCCCAAAACGAAGAAAACCAGCCATTGCTATAGGATTGTTTATAGACATATGGAGAGGACATTGACTCAAGCAGAAGTTAATCAGGTACATAAAAAAATTGCTATGCAAGCAACTAAATCACTTGGAGTTACTGTTCGTTGATGCATCCCTCATTTTTTTTTACTTTTATTATTACTAAGTACTCCAAATTATTCGCAAAATTTTTTCCTAATGTAGATAATTGTAAATAAATTTTTAATGTTTGATTGTGGTATTATTTCAAATTATTTCTAATAAAATTCAGTGTTTTTTCTTTTTGTGGGAAACGTGAATTTTTCATAGAAGTGTATGCAATTGAACTAAAATTGACTAAATTCACATGCTGAGGCAACCCTTAAATATTTATAGTTTAAAATGAATAAGGACTTTTCTTATACATATATTAACTAACGTAGATTAAAATGAGATTATCAATAAGTAGAAAAAGTTATTTATTCTGTGAGAAAGTAAGTGACAATCTACAAATTATTGACTTTGAACTTGTTGATTTTGTCATGGTTACTGAAGTAATATGTGAAAGAAAATGTCTGATCCAACTAAGAAATATAACAATTTATACCAAGACCTTCAATCAGCTATTGAAGAAGATAAAATGTATTGGATTAGGAATGATGCCAAGATTAAAGCAGTTGAAACAACTACTAACTATGAGGAATTTAGGTAACATTTTATTTAATTACTTTGCTGGTGACTGTAATTGACGCAATGGATTTATTTTTAAAGACAAAAAGTTGCTGTAGCTCATTTGCAATCCATGAATGCATCAGAAATTAAACAGAAGAAAACATTATCATGGAATAAGATAACCAGTGAAAATAAAATTACTCACTAAGTATTAATAAAATATTTAATGATATAAAGGCATTCAATATCAAACTTGATTTTTAAAACACTATAAGCCCACAACCCAATTTCTCCCAATATTTTAAAACTTAAAGTATAGTAACTACGTTAAAATTGATTCAAAGATAACTTTTAACAAGGAAATTATAATAAAATCCAACCTGCATTTTAAATGATTATTTCCTTGGCTGCTGAATAACACAAACGGAAGGCTTATTGGTATGAATTGCTGGTGGTTTTTCCTTATGAATGCTCTGTACAGCTTCTGCAGGGAAATCTGCATTGCCTTTAGGAATGGCACCTGAGATAGTTGTTGTTTTTGGTGGACTAGTAGACACTTTAAGTGAGGTAGTATCTTCTCCTAAGCCACTGGGTTCTCTGTGACCTTTATGCTGGGTAATTCGCATGCCTCCTGCTTTAACTAAAGACAACCTTATCAAATTTATAAAGTACTAAAATTTTTTTATATGTACCTGCTGGTGGGTGGCCTGCCTTAAGTTGACTATCATTATTCAAACTCGACATTTTAACTTATTATAAAAATACAATAAATGCAACAAATAAATGCATCCGTATGGAACAATGAACAAACAACGCAAAATAATTTGTCAGATGACTCTCAAATGGCTTCTATGGATTGACATTGACAGAATTGAAATGGAAGTGTCTTCACTACCCTCTCATTTACAATATACAGCATGTTTTCGTTATTGGTTAGTCTTGGGTTTAATTATTGAAGTAATCAAAACCTCAACTAGCGATAATGTAGATAAGGTTTCACGTTTTAAGTAATTTGCAATCTTCGCTTCTCTTACTCTGTAATTAATTTTTGATCAAACTTCGCTCGTTTCATGTGCGCTTATCAACTATCAAATATCATAGATATACAAGGAGTTATGTTAATGTCATTTGATCGTTATGATCATAGAAGAATTCGCGCAATTTTTTAAAAATTAATGTTTTTTGTTGAAATGAACTTACCTGCTATTGTACACAATATCGTACATAACAATAATTTTCTATTTTTATGTAGTAGTATGTAATATGTAAAGTAATGTTATGTCTATTATTCATTTGCTATTTAATAATTATTTGTTTTATACGTCTTTCAGGAAAGAAAAACACATTTTAACTAATAAACATTAATTTTTACTGAATTTGGTGTCACATTTACACATCAGTACGTTACATATTTGTTAGAGAGAAAGATTAGGCATTTTTTAAAAACAATAACAAGT